TTTGAATCAACACCAATGCATTTTTACACTTAAAGTCCGAGATGTGCAGCGAGCATTTCTCACTTCATTTTTGCAACGCAAAATCAAATACAGTTTATTACTAGTATTAAAATATCATTTTTATTACGTATATATAAGAAGCTTAAACTCTATTCTTTCGACTTCTTCAAACAGAACTATGTTTTGTCAACTCTGTGCAAATTTATCAGCAAATGAGCAGTTTGTGAGCAAAACTGTGTATGCCAAGCATGCGCAGAAGCATGGTAATATGATTAATTGCTAGTGATTCTTGACATATCCATTATGTTAAATCTATGAAATTTCATATGGAACCCTCCTACAAACAACTCTTTATTGAAGAGGAACCATAGGGCTTTCATTCGGAATGGGAATTTTTTTTTAAGGCCATATTGTATTTTATCAGAAAAACGATTCAGAATGATTCTAAGATCATCATGATGGCTTTTCATGCGTGGAAAATTGTGTTGTCTTTGCTCACCTAATCTATTGTATGTATCTGATAGCGCGTTGTTTTTTTCTCAGCTTTCAGATGGTGACCACAGAATCAAAACCGGTGGTTTCGAACATGGTGCGTTTTTCTGATAAAATCCAATATGGCGGAAAATTAAAGATAGCCGCCAAAAAAAAATCCCCTTCTGAATGAAAACCTTATCCTTCCTCTTCATAATATCGTGTTGTTTGCAGAAGGGTTCCATATGAAATTTCAAAGATTTAACATAATGAACATGTCCAGAATTGCTAGAAATTCAACTTTTTGAAAACTATAAGGCCCCTTGGCAAGCGAGGATTCCATTAATGTGAACAAAAGAAAGTGTCAACCCCATTTTTTATCAGTTTCATCCAATCAACCGAATTTATTATAGCGTGATTCCCTCTCACCCCAAAAGGCCTTTGTTCAATTCCAGACGCCGTCGCCGGGATTTTCTGAGACATAAAACCTCTGATCACGCCTTCCTTCGGAAGGGAAGTAAAGCCGTTGGTTATCCCGTCAACGATAGGTAGGGTCCAGGTGTAGGAGCTGCCTCCCTGGCTTCGTAAACATTGGTACTCAGTACGGAAAACAAGTCCTGGTCAAGATAGCTTGGCCTTTATTATTTATTTATTCATCCAAAACCTCATTAAGACTAGAATCTGTCTAGTTGGCCCACCCTGAAGAAGGTTCTAAAGAGTGTATTGTCGAGACATTTCAAGAATGACTTGCTGTAAAAAGGTTATATGACGAATGCATTGAGAACCATTTTAAATCCTTGTACAATAAAAGCCATTTGGCATCAATACTTGTGCAATTTGCCCTTGACGCTTGCTTTCTTCTGATTCTGCGTTTGAAAGCCCCACTCGATTATGCTTTTCTCTGTCTCTAGGAGGATCCATCTTTTAAGTTTTATTTGGTAACAGTGGGAGGTTTTGTGATACACTTCATTAACACCAAACCGCATCAATATTGTATGCTTTTTGATCCCGTTTGAAACCGAACGGTTTTATAATACCTTTATGAGGTATTTTGTCATGACATCAATAAGATAAATACTGATTGATTTACTGAACAGTTTTGTAAAGGGATTGAGTGCTGCATTAAATTCAATTTTAAAACCAGACACTTTCTGATTTTCACGTCAGGCTTTAAAAGATGTTTAAAATAGCATAAAGCTGAACTACTAATCAAGAGTGTTTTCACTTTTAAATGCTGTTTTAAAATTCAAAGGATTGCTTATTGCCATTATTAAACCACAATGAATCAGAGTTAAAGCCAAAAGGCTGGTAAATTGTTACTTGGTTGTTTTCAACGAGAATTACTCATTCCAAAAGTTTGCATTTTTCATTCGCTTTTTTTTTATTTCAAATAAATTTTAAAATTTATCAAATTGGAGATTAAAACTTAGTTCAATATTATTTTTTTTTACTCAAAATTACAAAAGGAAGGACCGTTTATATTTCTCTCAGAAACACTTTGTTTTTTTTTCTACAACTTTGTTTTACACGTCATTTCGATTAGAAGTGACATTTCCGTGTTGCAATTTATTGAAAAATGACGCCATTTTGTAAAAATTTACAAGTTCTAAACAAACCGAATTTAAGCATAAATGCGAATGATTGCCCATTACAAACAACTATGCAAAGTTTCATGCAAAGCGAAGAAGGTCGAGTTATATTGATTCGTTATTTGGCGTGGAACTGCTCTCATTTTTACGGGTTTCAAGCCATTTTGCGTCTTAAAGGTTTTATTTGGAGTTTTAAAGGTCGTTTTGGCCATAAAATATATGTCATCAATATGTGGGTCACGAGTTTATGAAATTTCTCAAAATGGGTTTGACTCAAATGAAAGTTTGAGAACCAACAATCTAAGTGGTAATGTCAATCTAATCTAATCTAACATCAACACAGCTAGTTCATGAAAGCATCCTGGGAAATTATAGATATACTACCATCCTTTCTCTTATCTATTTGGTATATTTTGTACATCAGAGATGCGCAAAATATATCAAAACGGCCAGGTCTACTTTGCAGCATTTAAGGGGCAAGAGGATTCAGAAACATCGGGCCTGTTTAAATCCAAGTTTTAAACACGATGCTTCAGAATTCAATAAATGGATTAAACCTGGACATCTCGTACCGTACGATCCGTTGTTATAAATGATTGGTCGTTGGGAGCATCTAATCTAATAAAGTTAGATGATGCTCCATTTTCCTCGAGTGGTTGGTACATGAGCACGAACTCTTGTCTTAGCCCTATATGGCTTATGGTTATAGCGCCATTACTCGCTTTCTGAAAAGAGAAAAATGGAATAAAAGGCCGTAGGCGAAAAGAAAAGGAAGAAGGAACCCTAGTTCTATCTTCCCTAGTGTAAAAACTGAAAAAAAACGGGTCTCTAATCAATCTACAGGAAGAGTTCGCTAAAACTCACAAGGACTTGCGAACTTTTCCATTTGTATGTTTCATAAAACCTCGCAAAATTTTCCAACGCTGAACACGAACAGGTGAGAGCTAGATTTCAGTAGAGAGTAATAGAACAAAAATATATTATAAATTTAAGAACATATAAATGAAAATAAAGGGTAAACAAAGGTACTTCTAAGACTTTTTCGAGATATTTCCAAACTAATTAAAAAATTCTTCCGGCAAATCATGATCACAAAAATGGAACTAGGTACAAAACTTCAAACGTCTAAAACCAGAAAAAAAAGCACTAGGACGACTCTCTTGCCAAATGAACCAATTGGCAAATCTATGTTGGAACTTGGCCAGACCCACTCGTTCCCAACAATAGCGCACTCGACATTTGATTTCTCATCAAAATACAGCACGAAAGCGGCTCTTCAAAATGAGGTTTAAGACAAAGTTGTAGAAACCGAAACAGGTGAATATATAAACAGCAACGAACTCACCAAATGAACGATGGTTTGCCCGTGAAGCAAAAACTTGGAAGACTGTTGCATCTCCTAGTTTTAGCTCAACACTTCAAACCATTCCATCGGATCTTCAAAGAAACTCTTGTACAATCCACCTCCAATCCAATCAGAATCACCGGGCCAACTTGCCAATCGCCTAATAACAGTTCTGACGAAAAGGATGCTGATAAAAAAAAACACTTTAAATGCATTTTACCCGATCACTTGCTTTGCACTAAAGTTCTTTTCTAGAACTATGTTATCGAGTGGCACATTGTTTCGGGCTAAAACACGATCCAACAATCTAAGTGGTAATGGCAACTGCAGTTATTCAAATTTGGTCTTTGGTAAAATTGTTCAAAGTGAAGAATCACCACCCCCGTAACGTAGGTAGATCCCCTTTTCCTGATACGTTACGGGATGTAAGATCTACCACCGATTCATAGTCTTGACTACTTCAATCTAGGGGAACAGGCTTTTTCAGTAATCAAAGGAACACATCTTGTTACTTTTTATGCCTTGTTGATAGTGATAAGTCCTCGGGTTGCCTGGACCGAGGATGATCTTGAAACAAGGAAAAAAATGAGTTAGTTAGTCTTCATCTATGTGATTCCTAATCTTCTATTCGTTGTTCCCTAGTTTGAAGTGGTTAAGACTAGGGTTCTGATGCATGGTCACTATCGGTGTCATTCTTTAATTTTGTTGCTAAGGAATCCAATTTTGACTGACAAAGGGGCGCACCTTTGGAGGGTGTTCCAACACTCCGAAGGGTATAAATAGCGGGACCTTTCAATTAGAATCGATTCCTTGCAATGAAGGCAAGAATGACAACTGTATCAAAACCGAATACTTCATCATTTCTCAATAGTGATGAAGTAATACGACTTACACTAAACTAAGGATACGGGATATACTACATTAGATCAAATTACTGGTCGTAGTAGTTTTATGTCCCGAACAGAGGAGAAAAAAAAGAATCAGTTATCAATTATTCAATTACAGTGGTGCTGGTGATGTAGTGGTAAACGTGACTGCCTCTCACTCCAAAAGGTCTGGGTTCAATCCCATTCGGTGAAATTTGATTCAATTACATCAGATTGCCCTAAAGTGTTTTATCGAAAAAAAAAAAAAACAAACATCAATTTGTGACCCACGTGAATTCCATCCAAAATGTGTTTTGTCTTTCATATCTCAGTTTCGTAAAATTCCGCCAAATATGTAGATGCATCACCAGAATCCACTCTGATAATAAATGCCCATTTTACGAACCGTTTCCCAACCTGCCTTCCTATAGAACCATTCTCGTACTGCACAAACAAGAGCACATCGGTTTTTTCCCGTGCAATGTCACACCACCACCGGAAAAGTGCACTCGCCTCTCAATCGCATCCCACGGAGCGTAGGATTGGAGAAGAGAGCCAGCAGAGAGGACCCAAGCAAGAATCCTCCTGCAGAAGAGCATGGTGAAAAGGAAAAATCAAGTGACGCTCACTCGAACGTAGGAGTGGGTACTCGCTCACAGCTGTCACTTGGCGTCCCCATCACCGACCGGCAATATCTCCCACCAGCACCAGCACCAGCAGCAGTAGCAGTAGTGTCAAGTGTTTTCCTACGTTTCGTGTCGTTGTCGGTGCCCGGCCCAGCCGTGTCGTATGTGTCACCAGATCTCAGACAAAAACACATCGCCCGCGCATCGGCACTGATAAGTGAACCGGAAAGATAAATGCTAAATGTGCTACAAGAGCAGAAATCGAACCTCGACTCCGGTATTGGATTTTCCGATCCCAAACCCTCCCCCTCTCTGAGCCACTAGCGGGTGTGGGTTGCCGATAATATTATCCTATCGATAACTTTTCTGGCTCGCTTTTTCCAGCTGTGTGCCTGTAGATTCTTCTTATTCATGTTTGCTTATTTTTTTCTATTGTTCAATATTCTAGCATTTTGCGCCGGTGGAAAATGCTTCGATAGCGTGTGTTGGTGTTTGTGTATGTGTTTGAGGAAAAAAATGTGGGTTAATGAGTAGTGTGGAAATAGTGTGAGCGAAAAAGGCCTGCAGTAATAATAATCATAATACACACATACTCCCGAGCCAGCCCGTTTGTGACGTGAGTGAGTGCGAGAAAGAAGGAAAAGTGGAATCACCACCGTCGTTGCCGACGTCGTCAGCCGAAGCCGGGTGAAATTAAAGCCAAATTAGTGCTATTCAATTGTGTGTAGAACGGAGTGAAAGGACGACGCCACGGGGCAACGGAAAGTGACGTCAGAGCCGACGAAGGAGAAGAATTGGGTAACTAAATAGTGATTGTGCCGATTTTGCTGATTCGATTCGAGAAGAAAAACCAGGGAAACGAAGCGAAAAAGTTTTATCACGACTGAAGCAGATTTTCCGGAACCAAAAAAGGTAGGTAATGTTCCAAACAGTGTGATATATTTTTTTTTTTGTATGCGTAAGGGAGAACAGCCCATAATGCACCCCTGGGGTAAAATGCCCACTTATAGAAAAACAGCGATAACTTTTCCTCAGATGCATTTTCCGGGTAACGGATTGTGTTTGTTTTCAACTGGAGGTTTCGCAAATGATTCTTGATCATAAAATCATATATTGACCTACTGATTCCCTTAAAAAATAGCATTTTGTGCAAAATATGATACAGTTGTTAAAATCGTCGACTTCAAATTAAGCTTTTAACAGCATATATCGCAAAAATTGAACTAATTCACTTTTCGTATATTTTTTAGATGTTTTACTTAATGAATCACAGTTTAACACTCTATTGCGACCTTATTTCTGATGTAACATAAAGGAATAATCATCAGGCGTCAGATCACCATGAATCAGGCGTTTTGCCCCGCTATCATATTGGAACCAATTTATAAAATACCTTGAAAATCATGAAAATGCATCGTTCTGTAGTTCGAAATCACTTGATCTTCGTAGAAAACATGGTAATGAACCAAACACCATTACTTTCTTCTTGATTTTAGCTTCCATACGCCAGCAATTGACGATTTTGCTTAAACGGTGCGTTTTGCACCATCCTACCCTACGGAAATTTTCGGGCACCCAACCAACAAGTGTAGTTATAAGATAGGGAAGGGAGGGAGGTAGAAAAAGTTTTCGAAACTCGGAACTGATTGTACTTGACAGGGACAAAATTGCCACATTGCGGTGTGCTGGAATATTTTATTTAACACTTGGAAGAGGGGGTATGTATAGGTACGGAAAGCTAAAAAAAAAAACGAACAGGTCAACCGTTGGAATGGAAGAATTTTCGTTGCTATTTATCGGGCATTTACGGTTGAAATTTATGAAAATACTCATGAAATTTGTATTATACGCTTGTTGCGGACAAATCATTAATTGAGCTATCAGCAGCTTCGGTTTGATTATTTTATACCTTTAATCGTTTTACTATTATCTTGACTGAGGTTTGATTGTCAATTATCTACCACAATACGCCTCCGTAAGCTCAATCGTTTTCATTTTTCATTCACTATTGCTTGCATTTCCTCTTCCATAGCAATTAATTTGACTTCCATTAAATTAACACATGAAGCAATGGTTTCTATTGCCGTCGTAAATAAAAATAATGTACAGTAGAGACCGCATTTTCATTGTGCATAAAATTAACTTATTCGGAAGAATACGTATAACAACATTTAATTTCATGGTAGTAAAATTATACCACTGCATACACATTCTATTTCAAATATATGCTCCTACCAGCAGTTGCACCTACAGTTGTTATTCTCGCTAGGCTCTCCAGGCCAGCAGAACAACAGTACATCAGGGCAAATCGGTTTTCGGAGGGATGATATATGACTTGCCGAAAATAGAGCACTGCATGCGATGGCATCCTTTTTCCTCGCGTTCGTACCAGCCAATAAACATTGCGGATTTTAGCCAGATGACCGGATGATGATCCCAGCAGTCGCTGGCAGTCAGAGCCCGAATCAAGCGTACACAATAGATGTGTACATAAGTAGTGCCACAGACAACGTTGTTGTTCACTATTAAGCTGGTGTAGATCATTCTTCGTCCGACAATAAATTTTAGTTTGTTTTTCTTCCCTATAGGTACACATCTCGATTGTCGATTTTTGAAAGGCTTCTGTTCATAGGCTTCGTGCATCGAGAGCGTAAAAGGATGTGCAATCAGAATTTATTGTCTCCGCTGCATGGAAATAATGCTTCCTGTTTTCCTAAAATTCGCCGAGCAATGTATTAAAAGGATCATTAAACAACGTTAAAGTGCTATTCGAAGAATTTCAAGCTTCACTTGAATAAACTCCCGATTTGTTCCAATCGTTGCGTGTGCCAGCGCTATAACTCCCACCAAGCAGGCAAACATTTAAATCTGCAATAAATTTTACTGCTCTACCTTTTTTACTCCTAATCCAAAGAAAGCAAGCTCCACATGTTCGCAAACATCTTGCCTGGGGTTGGCACACATGTTGCGAGCGGACAGAAACTTGCTACATTAAGGCGGAAGCTTTCCTCTTTCCACCGGCCGTTACATGAAGTTACTGCGAGTGCTCCTAGAATAACGATTTAACCAAATACGAAGTTGAACTGTAAAAGGAGAAAAGAGCCGTTATGTATCGAGTATGTACTTACTGGTACTTTTATTTTATTTGGTGAGTTAATGTGCTGTACATAAATAAGCAACAGCAACAGCATGTGAAAGCTCACATAATGTACCATGTGTAAAGAATATTAGCGCACGTAGTTCTGTTCGGTAACGTGTGGAAGAATTTGATATTTAGATATTTAAAATTATACTTGAAAACACTGTTTGAACATTCTTTAAAGTTGACTAAAAATAATACTATGGCAATAAAAGAAAAAAAAAATGGATTTATCTATTTTGTGCGAGACGGAGTACCCGGATACTTAGATTCCATTTAAATAACACGGTGAAAAATAGTTCCGAATGAACTCAATCGTGTAAAAATCCAGTACTGTGCGTGCAAATAAATGCATTACAGGTAAGGTACACCGGGGGAAGTGGATACAAGAAAATGCATAGTTCAACTTCAACTTGATGTGCAACTCTTAAAAATGCATCGATTTTTATTCTGTTGATTGTAAAATGAATGTGGAAGTGTTGTGCATAACACAATATAAAAATAAAATCATTAAGATTACTCGCTAGTGCTCACCAAAGATTTAAAAAAATTGACTCGATGGTCCACTTACCCCGGTGGTTCGGGGTAAGTGGAACAGCGATATGTTTGTAATCATAATTGAGAAATAACGATTGTTTTTTTTTTTTTTTATAATTACTTTATGTGTACAGGCTCAATCGAATAAACTTTACAGAGCCGAGTTATCCTTTGCGTTATACATTATTACTGTCTTAAATTTAAAGTTAAAGGAACTGGACCGAGTACTCGCGGTTGTCTCGAGGTTAGTGGAGATTTACAATTTTTTGGATGGGAAAAGGGAAGAAGGAGGTTTGAAATGTGGTTTACGATACAACTATTTAATTAATCCTAAAGCATGAAATTATTTCTATTCATCTTGAAAACAAACATTGAAAAAAAAACCCACACGTACAAAATACAAACTAAGCACAAGGTTAATCAAACTTACAATCTAAGGTTAATATCCTTAAAGTAAACATATATGAGTTTCATAAACTCCAGATCGCGTCTAGCCAAAATATCCCGAACTGGAACATTAGGTTGTCTACCTCGAGCCCGAAGGGAATCATAAAAATGTGATCTGACTCCACGATACTCCGCACAAGACCAAAGGATGTGATCAGCGTCCTGGTAACCTTGTCCACATTCACAGAGATTGCTGTCTCCCAACCCCACACGGAACAAGTGAGCGTTTAGACAATAGTGATTGGACATGAGACGAGACATCACGCGTATGAAGTCTCGACTCAAGTCCAACCCTTTGAACCATGCAAACTTCGACACCTTAGGGATAATTGAATGTAGCCATCGTCCCAAGCTCCCTTCACTCCATTGATGTTGCCAGCTAACGAGCGACTGCTGACGATAAATAGAGAAAAATTCACTATAGGCGATCTGTCGATCATAAATGTAGCCTTCCATAGCGCCCACCTTCGCAAGTGAATCCGCCTTCTCATTGCCCAAAATTGAGCAATGCGAAGGGACCCACGCGAAGGTGATGATGAAAGAGCGCACGGATAAAGTACTAAGCAGTTCTCGTATTTTCAAGAGAAAATACGAGAAGTGCTTTACCGGCCTAATTAAACGGATAGCCTCGACAGAACTGAGACTATCCGTAAAAATAAAGTAGTGGTGTGGAAGAAGTGAAGCAATAGTTTCCAAAGTGTAGTGAATTGCTGCCAGTTCAGCCACATACACAGAACAAGGAGCTTCAAGTTTTCGAGAGGCGCTATGAAATTCATTAAATACACCAAAACCAGCGGACTCCTCTATTAGAGATCCATCTGTGAAAAACGTTCTTGCAGAATCAATATGGCCAAACTTTGCAGCGTATAATGACGGAGCAATCATAGGACGATGATGCTCTGGAATTCCGCGGATTTCCTGTGTCATAGATAAATCAAAATTCACTGAATTGCCGAAATCGGAGAAGATTACACGATTGGGAATATTTCTTGAAGGGCTGACATCCTGTGTTAAATATAGGTAGTATAAAGTCATAAAACATGTTTTAGGATTTAGCTCCAGAAGCTTCTCAAAATTTTCGATCACCAGTGGGTTCATTACTTCGCAACGGGTGAGGAGCCTCAGAGATAACTCTGAAAAACGGACGGATAGTGGCAAAATGCCCGCCAGCACTTCGAGACTCATAGTATGAGTCGAATGCATGCATCCTAACGCGATACGAAGACAGCGATACTGGATCCGTTCCAGCTTGATGATGTGCGTTTTAGCTGCCGACTGGAAACAAAAACTACCATATTCTAAAACCGATAAAATCGTTGTCCGGTACAACGTCAGAAGATCTTGTGGATGGGCTCCCCACCACGTTCCGGTAATTGATCGAAGGAAATTGATCCTTAGTTGGCATTTTCGTCTCAGATACTCAATGTGGGATCTCCAGGTGCATTTGGAATCGAACCAGACCCCAAGATATTTGAAAGACATAGAATGAGTGATCGGTTTACCCAAAAGTTGAAGCTTCGGTTGTGCTGGGCTATGCTTCCTAGAAAAAACGACCAACTCAGTTTTCTCCGTGGAGAATTCGATACCTAGCTGAATAGCCCAAGTAGACAAATTGTCCAAGGTATCCTGTAAGGGTCCTTGCAGGTCAACCTCTTTTGGCCCTGTGATAGACACTACGCCGTCATCTGCAAGTTGTCTCAACGTGCAATTGTCACTAAGACAGACATCAATTTCTCTAACGTAGAAATTGTACAAAAGGGGGCTTAAACATGAGCCTTGGGGGAGACCC